GCAGCAATTGTCCACTGGAAGGAACATCCGTTTGGGGTTCAAATCCCATTTCAACCCTTTTGTAGCTGTGTGACCTTGGGCAAGTCATTTCACCTCTCTGTGCCTCGGTTTCCCCATCTGTAAAATGGAATAATACTAATAATTACCACCACCAAGGGTGGCTGTGAGGATAAGGTCAGATAACCTGTAGGACAGGGCCCAGCACACAGCAGGTGCTCAAAGCACATTTCTTCCTACTTTCCCACTGCATTCACTCCTCTTTTTTTGTGTGTGTGAGGAAGATTAGCCCTGAGCTAACACCTGCGCCAACCCTCCTCTATTTCGCACGTGGGACACTGCCACAGCATGGCTTGATGAGCGGTGTGTAGGTCCACACCTGGGATCTGAACCCATGAACCCTGGGCCGCTGAAGTGGAGCCTGTGAACTTAACCGCTGTGCCACTGGGCCAGCCCTGGCATTCTCTCCTCTTGCTTTGCACGGCCACTGGGAGGGGTCTGCCCAAAAAATATTGTCTCTGGGGCAGCAGATCACCGTCCCAGCAGTACAGAGGCACGCCTGGCCCCACCTGGGATGTCACTTCCACTCTGATTACACAGCGGTTTCCCCTGCCTTGCTGAGATGTGGTTAGTAAGAACTGTTACATCAGCACCAACTGTTCTTGTTCCCAGTCCAACTTCCACACAGAAGGGATTAAGCATTCCGTGGAGGTGTTTATTTAGCTAACATTTTGTAACATCTCTTGTAACCGTTTACAGGAAAAAAAAGAATCAAATGTCTTGTAGCAAGCTCAGAAATTCCCAGCTGGGCCAAGAGTAAGCGCAATGTGAAATGACTTAATTAGGAATTAATTTGAAAAAGAGACTCTTTCCTTTCTAGAACTCGGCTTGGTTCTTGGGGGGTGTGTGTGCACGTATTTCTGGGTTTCTAGGGGGTGGAACCACAAGACCCCAAAGGAGGGCTGGCCCCTAGGAAGGCCACCTCTCTTCCTTGCCGGCAAGGTCACCTGAGGCCAGCCCAAGGGTGAAGGGGTGGAAGGATGTTGGGAGGGTCACCGCCCCTGACAGATGGAGCCCCTCCCCCGCGCAAGGAGTTTCCCTCTGATGGGCGGAGCCACACTGATAAGAGACTGAACCGTCCCCACACGCAGCTCAGCGGGGGGCTTAAGAGGAAAGGCAGGCACCGTCGGCCTGTCCTGGTCCACACAGCAGGATTTTGTCATCCCTTGAGCATGAAGCCTTCCTGTATTTCCATGGATGTATTATTATTCACGTGATATTTATCCGACCATCCATCCACCCAATGAATATTTATTAAGCATCTACCGTGTGCTGGGCGCTGTGGTTCACAGATGAGAAACCACTGTCCAGAGAGAGGAAGGGCTTTGCCCAAGGTCACCTCATTTCTCAGGGGAGGGACTGCAGAGGGTCTGGCACAAGGATCTGTCAGGAGAACCGCTGAGCCACGTGGCCCTGGCAGAAGGCGAGGCTCCAACGAACCAGCAGCCTGCCTTCTCTTGCCTCTCTGGGCCTCAGTTTCCCAGTCCATAAAAGGAGGTTGTTGGACCTGACCTCTAGAATAAGGTCCAAAAGTTGGGGCAGGTGGTTAAAATCTGCAGTTCGGCCCCTTCCCGAATGTGTGCCTTTGGGCAAGTCGTGTCCCTGGGCCGCAGTATCCTGGTCTGCAAAGTGGGCTCCTGCCCGCACCTCCCTCACAGTTGTTACTAGCAAGATAAAACGGGATGGTGCACTTGCTAAGGAGCTTAGCATGTGTCTGGCACACTGTAGGTACTTAATAAGTATTTCTCAGCATCTCTAAGAGTGGACTTCACCCCAGCCTTTGAGCCAAGGGGAAACAGGCGAACCCACGTCAAGCACAAATTGTCGGCTGTTGCCTGGGAGGTCAGGGCTGGTCCCCACCCCCCGACACCGGCCCCTGGCCCCAGCATCGTTCGGCAGGGAGGCTGCTGCCAATTTGCTGTCTAGGCCTGGCCACTGACTCCCGACAGCTCCCTGGGGACAGGGCAGCCGCCTCCAGCTGCTGTCCCCCCCCACCCTCCACGCACAGGGCCATTGAAAGTTAACGGTCAAATGGCCCCTGGGGATAGAGGGGCTGGCGGCTGCGTGGAGGGCTTCAGGGGGCTGGAACTAGGCTGGCCCAGCCGCCCGTGTGGTCCTTGGAGTGGTTCTCTGGAGACGTGGGAGGGCACATCAGAAGCCTATAACCTTCTCCTGGGCTGTTACGCAGGGAGAAAAATGGGAGCGGTTGGAAGGGATGGGCGAGTCGTTGCATTATCCTAAGAGCCCCCTCCCCCTCCATGAGAAGGCGCTCCGTCCCAGGCCTGGCCGAGCACCTTTTCTAGATGGAGGCGCAGAATCCCGCCAACAACCCACAAATTGGGTCCTCTCCTTGCTCTATTTCACAGAGGAAGAAACTGAGGCACAGAGAGGGGTAAGGACTTGTCCAGGGTCACACAGCTGTAAGGTGGTGGAGCAACGTGTTCTGTTCCAGCACCTGTGCTCTTCACCAGTAGGATGGGGGTGGGGGGGTGGCCACCATACCCTCTGGGTGTGACGGCCTCAGGTTCAAGTCCCCACTTTACCCATAACCAGCCGTGTCATCTTGTTAAGCCATTTAATCTGGTGGAGGCTCAGTTTCCCCAACTGACAAATGAGCACAAAAGTGCTGCTGTCGTGGGATGGTTACGGCACAAGACAGGCAGGTAGTAAAGGGCTAAGAAACCACCAGCTGCTATTGTTATTATTATTATTATTACTATTATTTTGTTCTTCTGCCTTCTGGATATGCTAGCTGTTTAACACAAGAAAACAGCCCTGAATCCATGCGAATAGGAAAAGTCTGTGCCGGGGCTTGGGGCTGGTGGGAGCCCCTGCTGGGCGGTCCTTGGGCACCTGGATTCAGGGATTCCCGCCACCACGATCCTCTACGTCCTTCCCCAAGGGCCCTCCATCGTGGAAGGCCCGCTCTTGCAGACAGCTGGGCTTTTTCACGTAACTAGGTGAGGACAACAGCAACTCGTGGTTCTGTGTCTCCCGCTCTGCGAGCTTTGTTGGCTTAGTCCTCCCAGCAACCACACGGGGGGGGGGGGGGGGGAGGTGTCCCTGTGTGCCCATTTTAAAGATGAGGAAACCGACGCAAGTCACTTGACCTGTCCAAAGCTGGATTTTGCACCTTCACGCGTGGACCCCAGAGCAGCTGCCCTAACGGCGTGACGCCCCAGCCTCTGGCGCTTTTATGACCATAAGAATCTTTGGTTCTGAGCTCTTCCAGCCGGCCCAGCCTTCTCACAGGCTTCCAGCTGGGAGGGCAGAAGGAGAGCCACCCTGGATACACAGATATTTTCATAGCTATTGCATTTAACTCTTTCGAGGCAGCTTTTATTTGCCCCACTGTGCGGAGAAGTTCAGAGGTGAAATTGCCCAGGACCATGCAATTGGCAAGTGGCAGAATCAGAAATCATTATTTCATCTTCATAACAATTCCGTGCAGTGAGCACTATTTCTAGCCCCATTTTTTAGATGAGTAAACTGAGGCTCAGGGAGCTCCACATGGCCAGGGCAGCTGGGATTATAACTGACTGCAGAGGCTAAATTCCTCACCCTTGGGCCGCCCCCACTCCACCTGCCGTGACGTAAACCGTTTCAGCCCCGGAAGGAAGCCCAGGGGGGTGGGGGTGTCTCTGGTTGTGTGACCTTGAGAAAAGCTCTCTGAGCCTCAGTTTCCCGCCCGTACAACCAGGCTCATCAGGGCAGCCTCCCAGGCTGAGGTGAGTGACGGGGAGAGGGGGCTGGCATACAGTAGGCGCTTATAAATGGCTGCGTGCCTGGCTCACATTTGGTGTCCCCGCTCCACACACCGCAGGCTCTCAGCAAGTATCTGTTTGAATTTGTGGCCTCCTTTGGCTCTCAGAAGGGCAGCCTCCCTCTAATTGGGGGCTGCGGTCCGCCCCAGAAGGCACTGCTGGTGAGTGGCGGTGGCCCCGGGGGGCCAGACAGCCCCTGGGTAAACATGGCTGATCCGAGGTGACAGCCTGCTCTTCCCAGGCCAGCCCCTGTCCCGTCCCCACTCCGTAATCCCACGAGTTGAGGGAGCTGTTCACCCTGCTTGCCTTGGGGGTGGGCCCTGGGAACCAGGTCAGGCCGCCCCCCCAGACTCAAGGGAGAGAGGCTGCGAGGGGACTCCGGGCCCTTCCTCCTTCTCCTCCTCGCTCCTGTTTGTTGTGTGACCTTAGACAAGCCCCTTCGCCTTTCTTGGCCTCAGTTTCCCCATCTGTAAAATAAGGAGGCTGGACTAGTTGACTCCCTAGGGGCCTTGCTAGTTCTGAATTTTGAAGACAAAAAGGTGAAGGGCGCTCCCCACCCCCACCCAACTTGTATCTCGCTTCATCTGGTCTCAAAAAATAATTTATTTTGGCCTGAGTCTCCACCTAATTCATTTTCAAACACATGAGACCTAGAAGGGACCTTAAGACGATCTAATTCAAGAGCATCATTTAACTAAGGAGAAAGTGAGGCCCAGAGAGGGCAAGGGACTTGCTGAAAGTCACGCAGCCAGCCTAAGAACTCAGGAGTTCTAACTCATAACTTTTCCAACATCCAAGGAGAATGGAAGCCAGTTCTGCCCCAGAAAGCTTTGTGGGGTTGGGGGGCACTTCCTGGAGCCTCACTGGGGCCAACGGAGGGGAAGCAATAGCTGCTTTTGTCCTCTTAACATTCACCAGGATGCCCAGTCTCTCACCCAGGAAGGCACCTCTCTTGGAGGGTACAAAAGATGGCAGGCATTTAGTGGTCCCACTGCCCAGGCCACAGGTCCCCCACAGCCTAAGAGATACCAACTTTGAAATCACGACCTTCTGGCTCTCCTGCAAAATCACATAATTTAATTTAACGATAGCGCTTGGGCAGCTTCAGAAACCATAAACAGCACATAAACACCTTAAGCAATGAAAAAATCCGCCGTTTGTTATGGCTGAAACCCTCACCTGTATTCCTGTGGTGGGGGGTGGCGATGTTGCCCTGAGTTTCGAATAATTCCTGACATCATGGATGAGATGTCACTTTCTATCATCTCCTTGGGGAAAAGACAAGCAGAAAACAAAGCTCCCATCAGCAACGATGGACAGGGCAGAAACCCACAGTTTTCCCACAGTTCAGAAGGATGGAGCTCAAACAACTAACAGAACACTTTTTCTAAAAAAAAAAAAAAAAAAAAAAAGAGGGAAAAAAGTACTAGAGGATTCTTGAGCGTCACAGGTCACTTTCCCAGGGCAATTCTACAGGGTTTTAGAAGCCAATGAAGAAAATGGAATGAAATTCCAGGTTCTTTCGAATTAAGAGGGAAGGACAGAGGAAGACTCTAGAATCCAAATGTCAAGTCTTGGAAAATGTGGACTCACAAACTAGGAGCCAGAGAAACCTGATTCCCTTCCAAGCCTTATGTTTTCAACCGCAGCTCAGTTAGGATCACTTTGAAAATAAAAAATAAACCAAAAAGGATAGCTTGATGTGTCATGGATGTTTCTCTGGGGGAGCCAAATTCCCACTTGCAAAGGGGCTAGTCCCCGCAGGGCCGGGCTCTGGAAATGCCCTCAGAAATGCCACATGCTCTTGCCGGAAAACCAGTCCAATCCCAACCCCACCCCCGCCACACACAAACAGCCCTAAAAAAAATTCCCTAAGTTTCTCAAACTCCAAGCCTGCAATGAACACAGAAACCCACCCAAGACTCTCAAGTCCGCCCCCAAAAGTCATTCCAGGATTCCTGGGAAGGAGACAAGGGGAGCAGGGAGAGGCAGCTCCCCCAGCCCCTGCCCCGGGTCTGCGCCCTGGAAAGGCGACGCAGGGCGCCGCCCGGGCGGAGGGAGCGAAGCCGGCGCTGCAAGGCGGTACCTGGAGCCGATCCTCGCCGGGCCGCCGCCGCAGGCGCTGCCGGGGCGCGCGGGGGTGTCGGAGGGGGGCTCCCTCGCGCTCGCCCCTCGCGGTCCGCAGTTTGGCCGCCGTCGCAGCTCGAACCGTTTTTAAATTTCCCTCTCTGGAGCTGTCCAGCTCAGAGCATGCGCAGTAGCCGTGCGGGGGGCTTTTCCCCAAGGGTCAGCTGCAGGGCAGGGTCAAGGGGATCGCACGGGCGTTTGCCAGCCGCCGCGAGCCCTGCGCGCCCCGGGGCTCCGGGTGGGGTGGGGCGCAGGGCTAGGGACACCCCTCTGCCAACTTTGCCCACAGTGACAGCCCCTGCATGTCCGCGAGCATGCGTGGAGGAGCCGTGCGAGGGTGACTTGGGCTGGAAGAATTAAGTTGCAAAAGGATGCTGGGTGTATTAAGACTTGCCATCCGTCACTGCCCGAGGGAAAGGAGGCGGGAGGGCGTAGAGAGCTGTTGCAAGCCCCTTTGTCCGCCAAAGCGGGGACGAGCCAGGAGGCCGAGCCGGGGCCCCAGGTAGACGCGGAGCGCGGCCACCTGTCCCTTTAAGAGAGCGGCGCCCGCGCGGCTGGCGGCGGGAGGGGGCTGCGGGCCGGGCGCCTCCACCTGCCGGGGCCGCGGGGGAGCCGGGAGTGCGCGCCCCCGGCCGCGCGGAGAGGGAGGCGGCCCGGAGCCGGCCGGGGCCCCGGCGGTGGCGG